AACCGGGCGAAACCCAGGATGAATGCGTCCAGTACCTTGTGTCTGCTCCTCCCCGGGGCCGCCTGCGTACCGGGGTGGGATCCAGGTGATCGTAGCCAGCCCCTTCCTCCAGAGCCCATATGACCTCTTTGCTGGGGACCACCGCCTTGCGCTGCGGCCGGGTGACCGTGTCCGTGAGTGCCTCTTCCAACGAGCTCTTCTTGGACTTGAGGCGATGGAGCTCGTCTATCTTCAGCATACCGAAGGTCTTGGAATACAATTTGAGGGTGTTCCACACCTGCCGTAGCTTGTACGGGGTGGCCTCCTCTTCGGCGAGCTGGTTGAGGAGAGAGCGGACATGTCGTTCCTGCCAGATCACCGTGAAGCCTCTCTTCCGGAGACTCTCGTAGACCAGGCAATGCTGCCTGAGTGTCCGGAACCTATTGTCCCCCAGGAGGTCCAATGCCTCCTTGCGGAAGTCCTCCCCCAGGATGTCCTGCATGTACGTAATGTGCTCCGCAAACGGGGCAAAGGGGGCGAGGAGCCGTTCCGCCCATTTCCCGCACATATGGAGTTCCAGCGCTCGCTGGGTCGTGGGCTCCATTTCCCTTATTTTGCCCGGGCGCCAGTGCCTCCACTTCAGAAGCTCCGGTTGTTGGAGTGGGGGTGGGTCATCTCGTGAGAACCACCTCAATTGGTCCTGGCGGTCCCATTCATTCTCCAGCGGGGAAAAGTCCTCGCTCGGCTTGCCATCCGCCGTCGCGAGGAGGAGGAACCATATGCTGTCCCACAGGTCGGCCAGGTCCGCCGCGGACAGAGGCTGGGGAAGCCTGCCTGCCGCCGCCGCCACCAGGCCGTTGAAGTATTCCGTCGGGACCACGTGGGCGTCTTGTCCTACCGGAATGCCCGAAAGTTCCAGGAGCTGAGAGAAGCGGATTGCCGGCTCTCCGCCCAGCTTCCTCCCCTCCTCCTCAGCAACAACTCCCCGTCCGTCTGTCTCGGGGAGAAGGACTCATCCGCCAACGTGTCCCATAGGATTCTTGGAATGCGGTAGGACCCTTGGAATGCGGTCCCAAAGACGTGTGTAGGGCGGGCGCATAAGAAACTTGGTAGATACCCTAGCCATGATGAAAAAGGGGGTTTTGAGCCTCCTATCGATCCGCCGGGACCCAACCGCGGCACAATGCATGCATGCTCCAACCTTGCAGAATGCAGAGTGCAGATGGAGCAGGCAGGCCACACGCATCCCGACACGTCCCCCCCAAAGTCCCGAGATTTTAACAGGGAGAGGGGGGAGCGCGACCCAAAATCAACCCCCCAAAACCCCCCAAAAGCACGGAGGGGGAGACCGACCAGGTGGGGAATTCCCCAAAACCTCAAGGGGACCTCAAGGAAACCATGAGTCGGCCGCAGCCATCCTTGGGGCAGCTAATGCATGTGGCCTCATGGTCGAGGAGATCAAGCTGCCGTGACGTGGCTCCACTGCCATGCCACCGGAAAAACCCACGTGCGCCACCAAAATGGAATAAGAGAGGAAACAGTGGTGAAAACCGAACCCAATAAGGAAGACATTTCCCCCCCCCCCCCGAGACGGGGCCAATGGCACCCAAGTCCCGGGAGGAAGAGATCACACGACTCCCACATCCGACAGGGTTGTGAGACAAAACCTAGCGGCTCCCTTTCTTCAGGATCGCCTCCTTCGCCACCGAGTGGATTGCCGCCAGCCCCGACTTCTCCGGGTTGCTCAGGATGACCGACCACAAGGCCGTGGAGACATCCCCCAGGCCGTTCGAGGAGCTGAAGCGCATGCGGGGGGTGCTCGCTCGCCCAGGACCAGCCGCTCATCCCTGAAAGGCTCCGTTGGCTCCACCCTCTTGTAGAACTCCATCCGATCGCGGATCCACTGATTGTACAGCTGCTCCGGGGGCTCGTCCATCACCAACTGCAAGCAGGTGGCCTTATCCCTGTGCCACCCCGTGATCTGGAGCAGCCTGGTCCCCCCGCGGCTCGCCTTCCAAAAGCCCTTGCAATATCTGCACATATAGCCCCCCGTGGTCTTGAACTTTTCCTTGCTCACCACTTCCCAGGCACTGATGCTTGGCAAGACCAAGCCACACTCCACGGAGCCCCAAAACACATGCTTCGCCTCCTTGGGGGAAGTACTTTTGGCCCGCAACCGCCGTGACCGTGGCCGTGGTGATGGGCGGGTACCGCCTGGTGCCCTGGTCTGGGGTGCGGAGCGTGGTGTCTGCCCCCCCCCAGGACCTTGGCCTTTGGGTCCGCCTCCTTGGCCGCTCCCCCCCCGGGGCCAACGGCACCCAAGGGGGGGGAGCAACCCAGCTGCCGGATGAGGTCCTGGGAGTAGCCCAACCTGTCATACAAGGCCCCCGCGCCTCCTGCGGGACCTGCTCGACCCAGTCGTGGACCACATTGCAGCGCCAATTGACCTTCACCTCCACCATCGACGACTTGCTCAGGCCCGCCACCAACTTGGTGTAGACCGAGTCGAAGGCCTTCAGCGAGGCCAGCGGGAGGGATGACCCTAAAATCATGATACTACTAGGCCGTCCACACAAATGAAGATGTGGTCGACACACGCAACTGTGAGGCAAGTCAAAAATACCCCACCTTCACCCCGACGGAGACAGCATCCGCTATGGCAGACCACACGGCTTGTCAAACACGATTCATAAAAAGAGACATCACGCGGCAGAAACGAGCCAAAGTTGCCACTCACCGATGACATCAATCTGGGTGGAGACCCATTGAATTGGTAGCATACACACCGGGTGGCAGAATGACACAGCCGCAGCTTAAGTGAGGGCCCTGAGGGGATCTCTCTCTGGACGTGAAGATGGAATTATTCAGTTTTGCGCGGGCCCGCAGCAGGTATCTCTGCTGCCACACATGTCAATCCTCCATGCCGAGATCCTGGTCTCCTGGGCACCAATGACCTTCTGAACTCAGCGAGGATGTGAAAGTCTGCAGCTCGTGCTGCCGAGACGGATCTTCTGGCCCAAGACGGATCTTTTTACCTCCAGCCGCCCTTTCTGGCCAACCACCCCGTACACGACAATGACTTGAATGCACATACTACCCATCGCACTAACACTTCATAAGTCTGCCAGCTTGCACCATGTCACTATTCCACACGTGGTGGAATAAACCACCCACTTGCAATCTTTCAACGCGTCATGACACCCTTATCATCCCACCTGTACAACTGCCCAGTTTAACCAGCGCTGAAGTGTTGTTAGGTTCCACCATCATTAACCACGCACCCCTCGGTTTACTTTGAGGTGCATGTTGAACCTATCCACGAGCTGCAATGGACACTGCCCGCTACGTGGGCCGATGCTTTCCTTGACACGGGTGCTCTTCGATTGGAATACGAGTGTCAGACTCAGCTCAGCTGCTTGAACGTGTCCAACCAAAGTTGAAATTCTTTGCCGCCAAGAATGTCCCCATCTCCTTGAAGATGTAACTCCACTCCTCCTTGCTGTGCGGCTTGGGGATGCCCAGGCTCTCCAGGAAGGGCACCGCCTCCTTCCTCATCTGGATAATGTTGCCCATCCACTTGTCCGAGGTCGAGCCCTCCGCATTGCGGCCCCGGCGTTGCGTCTTCACAATCAACGGGAAGGTGGTCCAGGCCGAGTAGATATACTTAAATGCTCCTTGTGCAGCCGCCTGGCCGAGGCCTCCTCCGCATTCGGCTCCCGCTGCTCCCGCAAGGCCTTATGCAGCTCCTCCTTCTTCCTGATCGCCTGGTCCACCTGGGGATGGTAGAGCTCGAAGCTCTAAGCCTCCGCCTCTTTCAGGGACCGCTGCACTTTGACCCGGATCTCCTGGCTTTCCCGGACCTTCATCGCCTCGTCATCCGCCTCCATGGACAGGATCTCCTGCCGGATGTCCACCCGCATGTTAAGCGGGACCGCATCTGCCATGGTGATCTCATCAGCCGAGTCCGTTTTTGGAGGGGCTCTCCCCAAGACCGTGCCGTCCACCAAGTTGCGGTCGGCCTGTGCCAGGGTACCACCGGGGCCAACGGCACCCAGGCTTCCCCATTCCCGCTGCTGGATCCAGATTTCTGGCCACCCCGTTCCGCATGCCTTGCACATGAACTTGTAGTCGGAATGACCTGCGTCGAGCCTGTACATGCGCTGGGTGCCGATACGCCTTGTTCCTCTGGAACTGCGAAGCCCAGACCTCCTCCTGGCGGAGCTGGATCTTCATCGGGACGTACGCCTCCAAGATGCGGATCACCAGGTCCTCCGTGAGGTTCTTCCCAACAAACTTGTAAAACAGGGAGACCGCCTCCTCCACCGTGATGTCTCTCAGCAAGGTGGCCGCCGACGCTGGAAGGACTGGAAACAAGTCCGGGAGGTCCACCAGCTTGAAGTACCCAGGTTTTCCGTCCACCGGCACCAAGGTGACAGGTTTGTTGGCCTGAGACGTAGCCTTCTGAGAAGCCGCCACAAAGCCCTTCAGTCTCTTCGTGGGTGGCGTCTGCGCCTCCTCCGGTGGTGTGGCCCGCTCCGTGCCGTCCGCATCCCCCAGGAGTCGGTGTGGCAAATGCCACTTGGAGACGCTCCAGTGCACTGGAGAGGTCATTCATCACATCGGTCGCCGAAGCTGACGGGGGGGGCCTCGGGCTCGTCCAAAACCAAGCCGGCCGCCACTGCCGCCTCCCGTGTGCGAATGTCCTGGGCCTCCTGGCTGGCCATTTCAACCTCCTCCACGGTGAGTGTCTGGTCCTCAATCAACTCAAAGGAAGGTGCCGAGGTTGCCGAGGAAGCCATTGCTTGGTCGGGGTTAAGTTCCAAAATGCAAAAGATCAAAGTTTTTCAATCAGCTTGGGTTCCAGGAACCCAGAGCAATGCTTGAGCCAAAATGGCACATGCCATTATGGTCAAGCATTCCACACACAGTTCATGTTTCCACATGCGTTTCAACATTAACAAAATATACATATGTATATTATAGCATACACAAAAGCTCGCTGGGGCAACAAGCAAACCCTTTCAGCGAGTACCACACAAATTTGGCAAACCCACCTGGTGCACTGGGGAGAGGTCGGCGGCGTAGTTGCCCGCTGCCTTCACAGAGCCAAGGCCCTTTGGGGCGGCGCGGTCGTGGTTGCTGCTCACCAAAGCCTTGCGCCAGGTATGGAAATGATCATGAACCAGAGGAAAGAGGAAAGTTGTCTTGCGGCACCTGCCAATCAAGTTCCATGTTAGTGGGTGGGAGGGTATGTTGAATTGACAAATGGCTCGTTGTTGCCAAAGACTTGTGGGCTGCAAGCTGTCCCGGCAAACTTCTTCACGGAATTGGAAAGCTGCGCTCGCGTCCGTTAAGCTTGGCGTGGTTCCGGAATGAAATCAAGGCGGCACGTGGCAAGCCCTTGGTGGAACCGCGAAGCACATCGGTCGAGGATCGGAGGCGCAGTCGGCAAAGATTAAGTGAGCCGCTATCACACGGCTATCTGAAGGCCGGCGAGGCTCACCTTGAAGCAAAGCTCTTCTATGGTAGTGGGGCCTGTACACTGAAAGCATTCATGGAGTGTTCATCAAGAGACCTACTCTTGGTCATGACGATATCTGCGCTGAAAAGAACCAAGCCCATGCAGCATTTGCGAGCGAACCCTTGCCGTGTCTTCTTGGCAACTTTCATTCCGGCACAGCCCTTCGAAGTTGCAGCTGCATTTGGGCCAAGAGTGGACCGAGGGGCGTTGAGAGGCACACTCGCGAAAGGCCCCTGTCCAAGGTCCATGCGGACATAATAAAACCAAACACTGACAGCAAAAACACACTAGCAAGGGGTGGCGGTTGAACAATGAAAGTTGTTACAGCCTGTCGAGAGTTGCGTGCGAGTTCTGCCCAGTGCATGACGCTTTCCAGGGGTAAACTTGACGGCAACAAATGCAGCCCCCCATGCCCTGCACTACCCCAAACCCGTAATCCACAAATCGATGGCTTGATCCGCAACAACAAGCACGTCGTCGAGGCCCAAAATCCTGACTCATCTGACCCATACCCATGCCAAGCACCTGTGCATAATGCACTTACATCAGCCTGGCAGTGTAAAAACAGGCAATCTTAAAGCCAAGTATATATGCATCATGCATCAAATGTTCTTTGTACGACCTCCGACACAAACTCTCCAAGCCCAAAGACATGCTGCCATCTAACAGCAAAAAAGCGGAATGCCTTGCAACCCTTGACACCAGTCACTCACTACGTGCGAACCACACATGGGGCGTTCATCAACGGGGATTCCCCCGGCCCTTCATATCCAGCATGGGCCCAACATAGTCCGAAGTCGGAACACTTGCAACACAGTTTCCCCCGCCGTGACTCGTCTGGGGTCTTGAAGTGGAGATCGGCAAGCTTCATGTCCTTTCAGTACTGGCAAAAAATGTACTCTACATAAACCATGCGCTCAGAAGCCAAGCGTCAATCAAGCAGCTTTCTGTTGGAGCTGTTCGCTTTTTTTTTTTTACCGTGTTCTACATGCAACATGGTGAGGCGTTTTGTTGGAAGCCCCATGCGCCATTGCTCATGTCACCGGGATGAGGAATATCAAACATTCTAGGTTGTCTGCCGGTCTGCCCAGGACCCGACCATTATTTTTGGATCCTCCAAAATCGTGATTTCTGCCATAGGGCGTGGGGGTCTGCAAAGGGGTCATGACACTGAGGCTGGATTCACTTATCCTATATCGGAAGAAGGCACCAAACGTCTGAACAGCTATGTTCGAACCTGGGACCCAAACACAGTCGTGACATCGAAAGACCCTGGACCCATTAACCGCGGCAGTTTTGTTTTAGGAAATGGAGGTGTCGCTTTTCCCACAAGTCCCAAAAAGAACCCAAAAGGCTCTCCCAAGATCTCCCGAGATCATTGGTGTCGACCCTCCCTTTTTCCACCGACCTGCTCACCCGGCTGGTGTCGCAACCTTTTGTGTGCGGTCCCCGCCTTCACCCCGACCTCGCTGCCTTTCCCGAAGTAGCCGCCAGCTGGAAGGACTGTCACGAAGAAGGTGTACTCGTTTGCCAAGGGCGCCAAACCTAACATCTGACCGCTGGCGAAGAGCAAGGGCCGGATGTACATGGAGGCATTGTTGCCTCAGTGAGAATGCCCAAAACAAATGAATCGCCAGCTGCCAATGTCAATTTGGAAAGCAAGCAAGCAAGCGAGCACAACTCCCAGCATCCAAAATTTGAGGAGGGAGACTGCTGCCCTGCCACGTCTTCAGCCCTTATGTTCCATCCATAACGCCGCATGTCCTGAAGCACCTCGAAAGCATCTGCTCTGCAGTCCCGCGGCCGTACGGCGGGACGAATTCTCGGTTTCGTCGGACAGCTTCCATCACGCCGTTGACGAACATGTCCGTAGGCACTTGTGGCATCCTTGGCGTGGATCGCGATCCAAGCGGAAACAGGATTCCCCGTACCACACCCTGGGTGTCAAACACACCTATGTCTATGTTGGGCACCCGAATTGCGTCAGGGCACCCAAGCCGCGGATCATAGAGGGCAAAGCACAACTGAACCCTGCGAGGTCGTGAGGACTCGAACCCCTCGTGTCAGGAGCCAAGTGTGGGGCCCACAATGGCTCGTCTTTGAAAGGTGATCACTGGACTTCCCCTTCAAAAGTTACAATCTGCCAGGTTCCATTGAAGAGGGCCACTTTTGGAGGTTTCACACAGAACAACTGAGATACCACGGCCCCATCTGCAGCTTTGAACCCTTTTGGAGGTACCGAGGTCCCCCCAACCCCCCCCCAGCCATCCCCGAAGCGGGGGGCAGCAGCGCGTCCGCGCCCTTCTGCATGCGCGCCGCGTTGAGCGCCGGGTTCAGCAGCCGGATCTTGTTGTCCTTGCACGCGAAGGCCTGGCGAGATCTCAGAGAAAGGACGAGGAAAACCGAAGGCAACATGGGTGGCTCGTTTCTTTTGGAGTTACTACTCCCCGTTGGTAAACCACAAGGAAAGCCACTATTTCGGGGAGAACCCCTACAAAAAGACACACCCACATGACTTGCTGCACCGAAGCTGTTGTCTCCAAGAGGAAGTATCCTGAGCAAGAGGTCTGGGAATTGTATGCTTGCTGGTAGATCCCTCAACGGTACACTGAAGCGACATCCTCAAGGTTAGGATCTAAATCATTTTAAAGGGAATCCACCCAAAGAAGGTTCCTCGAGATGTTCACTTTTCCCGAATAGGCCCCACGCCCGATTTTGGACCATGGTCCCAAGGATGGGCGTGATGGGAAGAAACCACACCAACAAGCTAAACTCGGGGCCATGTTCGGCTTTGTAGGGTGTTGGTTCAGATGAGAAGCATGCATGGAGTGACCTCTTCCAGGTATGTGTGCCGCTTCCTCTCTGTCCACATTTCTGCCCATCTTGACATCAGTTGCCTGGTTCCTTCTTGCGCTTGACGGAGAGGGTAGCTCACTTGCTCACCCCCGTAAATATGCAAGATGCCAACAGGCATTCCCTTCAATACCTTCACTCACCTACGTCCATGGGCATCGGCCTTCATGCCTTCAAAGACGGACACCCCATAGTGCAGCGCTCCTCGGATCCGAAGGCGAAGGCCAACATCGCGTGATCCAAGTTCCTTCCCTATACGAAACTACTTCGGTGATACGTTTTTAAAAGATCCATTGCAACCTATGTAGGGCACTGATGGATATGCGCTTGTGCTGGTGGTGTCACATCCGGTCTCCCGTCTCCCTAATAATAAGTCGTGGTCCCCTGGTTTTTAGTCAGAACTGTTTCAGACTGCGTTGTTTGGTTTGGGCTCAAATTGGAAAGGGGACCCCTTTGAAGTGTTCAGAATACAACTTTTGAGCAAGACCTTATGAAGGGAACCTATTAGAGACCCTAATGATAACTGACGCAAGGCAGCCCTAGTCATTAGGGTGGCCCTTGGCTGAGTTCATCGGGTTAGAGAGTTTAGCATTGGTTTGGTTTATTGGGTAACTTAAAATAATGGCAATTTTGGGGTTGGCTGGAGGGGTTCTTATTGGGGATTGTTCATAAATCAGAAGGGAGTACGCACAAGATGTCGTCGGGTGCCCCGTCCCTGGTTGCCCCATCCCTGCTTGGATAATTGTCAAACTTGCATGTCAAACGCCAGCAAACAGAGCAGGGCTCGCCAAAAAACAGGTAGAACATACTTTCAAGGCCCTGCCAAGTAGGCTGAGAGGGCCAAAGGGACAAAGGGCTGTGTCTCAGACATTTATCCATGTTGAAAACTACAACGTCCTCATTTCAGCTGATGCCCTTTTCAGAACCCTGTTTCATATTTGGAGCTGAGCAGGGAGCCCCTGCTCTGCACCATCGAAGCATCTGTTGATCGACAAGGTAGGGCCAACCGTCTGACTACGCAAACAGGCACACCATACCCAACTTGGAGCCAAGGAGGCGAGTGCCAGTTCCAGTGCTCCGATGGAAAACAGGACACGAGAAGTGTGTGAGGCTTGGTCTTCGCGCCGCCTGTTGATGGCCAGGTTTGGCCAAACAATGATCAGACAGCCAAACCAGGCTCTAAGCCTTGGCTTGACGTCAGGTCTTAGCCAGCTACAAGTCCTCCTCAGGACCTCCGTCCTGATGTTCCAAGGATGCTTGCACTGGACATCAGGACCTCCGTCCTGATGTTCCAAGGATGCTTGCACTGGAACATCATTCCTTATCGCCATGTGTGCTTTCCAGAAATTCCGGAAAAACAAAGCCGTCAACTGCGCAGGGTGCTCAAGTTCAGGCCCAAGTCTCCAGCATTGATGTGCATCAACTGGTATGGCGCCGGGACGAAAACCCCTGAGTCCCAGCTGCCATCAGACCAGGTATACCTGATGGCGTAGAAGAGATTGAAGGCAGGTGCTGGCTCCCTACAAACACAGGGTGCAGTTGGCATCGAGCAATAATGACCAGACTTGCTGCAGGAAAAGGGCAACACCGCCTTCAAGCAGCCATGTCTATCACGCGTCCGCTGCTCAAACAAGTTACCTCGGAAATCAATTCACAATCCATAAATGAAGTCCTACCACGAGTTGCGAGCAAAGCTTAAAAAGCCACTATCCAGCAAACCTTAGCAGACAGTGCCCGATACTCCACTTGTTCAAATGACATGACACTTGCGCGAAGAGGATTGATAACAAAAAAGGCATACAGGGAATAAGCAGACTTCGGTGGAATGATGTCGCTCTCCCCTTCATGAACAGTAAGTGAGGTGTGCTGGGCTACAACAGATTTCTAGCACGTATAGTCATCAAATTCATAAAGGATAATTAGTAAAAATGGGCAGGAACCATCAACTCAAAACAACACCTGTGTCGGTTTTATAGATATACGCCTTTGGGTTTGTGCATAGCTCACTATGATTCATTCACCAGGTACAGGGCAAATTGCCCACCAATCAATCGGAGTGAGAAAGGTCATCCCACAGCAGGTTCTCTTTCTGGCTCTCTCCCTTTCTCTCTCTCTCTCTCTCTCGTGTTTGCAACCTACCCTTGATGGCCATTGCAATTGACTCTCACCCCGGTCCACAGGTCCCATACTCTCACGTGCTTTACAAGTTAAACACTCGATTAATTTTCTCATGGCTATGATCTAGACGCCACTATATTTGCCAAAACTGAACGCTGACATCACGTACCAGGCAGCGAAGCCTTCTTTTGCAGAATGCGATCGAAGCTGCCAAAAGCCAGACATTGACAACACCCCGGACCCCGCCTCACGTGACCATTCATGGTCCGAATGGAGAAGCCCAAGTTGTCCCACTTCTCAGCCAGCTCTTCCCGCCTACCAGGCGCTGTGCGGACATGTTAGCAAGTCTCAATTAAGGCCGCGTCCGGCCGCACCTTCCGAGATCGATGCATTCTTAAAGATGGCATGCAAAGACTGGTCACCTTGAGAGCGGTCAGTGACTTCGGGCGGCTTCAGGCAGGCGGGCCCCAGCACGAGTTGCTGGCACATAGTGTCTTTATTCAAGGTCCAGATCTTGGGCCATCAGAACCACCAAGCAGCCACCGAACGTGAGAATGTCATGTTCTACACTTTCGTAGTACAGCAATGCACCACAAACTCAATCGCACCGCATCATGTTTCTTGTGGACTTCAACTTCCAGGAACTTGGTCTGGCATGTTATGTCTGGTTACAAATGCATAAATGCGTGTTGTTCTTGGTAGACGCTTCTTCCAGCTAGTTGGACAGTGCGCCCTTTGATTGCTTCGGCCAGTATTGAAATATGAACATTCTGTTGTTGCGATTTTGTTGCGGCAGCCAACAGGCTGACCCTCTCAACATACATAGAATCCTGAGTTGCTCGATGGCAAGCCTGTTGCCCAGTTGGCTGCCCACTGCGCATGGCGAACCTAAAAGGGTTGGCCCGTTTGGTTTGATCAGGCTTCACATCGGGTGGGAAAGCAACAATAACATGCAACCCTGATGGAGAGCCATGGCCTCATTTACCAGCCGATGCCTTGCTTTTCAGACCTGTCAAGAATCCTGGTTGGCTTTCCAGGGAGGGCCCAAAGAATGCTCGGGTCCATACAGAGAACCGTGCAGTTGCCTTCTTCGACGCTTTGCCAAGATACTTTGTTTGCCGGATGTGTGCGCCATGGGCTGATAGTACGGGGTGTGCCAACATGACCTGCCCATTGGCGTGCGCCTCGTCTTTTTGAAAATTGGCGTGCTGTATGCCTTGGTTGATTCAAGCAGCACACCAGTGCGAATAGCTTGCAGCAACATAAAAAGGTGTATGTTCACATACGCATGTATAATATCTATGTGTACATCTTGCCTTATTATCATATCTGTTTAAACATGGATTTCTGTTTTACTGTAAAATTGACCAAATATTAATAAACCCAAGGGCCCCCCAAACAAACTCAACCAGGGGGGTAAATTCATTCGGGGTTCCCCATGAATTGCAAATGTGTAGGTTTATGTCATGGGGGCTCAAAAGTGGTGTGTTCCTTGTTTCCCTTTGGAACCGGGTGCCAACCCCCAGAAAATCATGTACGTGTGGGTTCTAAACAGAGACGGCAATCCCCTGGGACGAAAGAGCAAAATCAGGCTAAATCCTGTGCCAGGATGCATACTGCGACCTCAGTGAAATGGCTGGTGGAACTTCCAACTGAAGCCAGTTGAACGTGCATGTTTTTGTGGCCAGGTCTTGACTCCATAATTAACTCTCATGGCCAACTCAGTTCCCAGCCAATCAACAGCAGAAAAACCGCGCGCCAGTCTTCTGGACCTGCAATACGCTGCCAAGATCGCTTGTTCTCAAGGGTTGGGAGCTGGCAAATTCCAGCCCCGAACTCAGTTCAACAGCAACTTGGCCACCTGCCAAGGGTAGCCCAAAATAGATCTATTTTTTGTCTGGCATCGGTCTTTCCTATCGGCTTGAGGGGAGCTGGAACGCCGGTACCAGGTTCGATTCTACAGTTGTCCTGGTTGGTCGCTTTGGGTCTGCTTCAGGCTGTTGGGGGGTGGACGGACATCCCACGGCACCACCTGGACGGGTTTGTTGCACTCCACGTTGCATAGGGCTGATTTGAGGCCAGTTGATTTGCTTTGGACTGAGTTAAGGTTGAGGCTTGTCTGCTGTACGCCTTGGTCAGGGTGGGGTTCGGGTTGGTTTGGGGTTGGCCAAGGCTTGGTCTCTCTACCTGGCTCTTCGGCTCTTCAAAAAGCTGCACCCGCTGCCGAAGCGAGTGCAGCAGCCTAATCAAAGACGGGAGCCATGCAAATCAATGTCTGGATCCCCTGGTGAAAAGCACAAGTTCTTAAACGGTCCTCTCTAAGGCCCAAACATCTTCAAGTGCAAGTCCAAGAGTGGATATCTGGGCGGCTTCCCAAGAGATCAAGTGCAATGCATTAAATTATATACCCTTTCTCGAAGAAGGTCAGTCTTCTTGAAAAGGCATCCTGACCATTCGCATGACTATTGAAACGAGGGGAGGATTATGCTTCTCCTATTGACCGGTCTCTAAAACCAGGGGATTGCCACTGCGAATCCGAGCTGTCGACGCCCGCACTCAAGCCATTGGTGACAATCGGAGGGCCCCTAACATTTCAAGAAACATTTGCACCTAGATCCAACACCGTGCAAATGGATGGTCCCCGTGTGCGTGCAAACAGCAAAGGAACCATCGACCAACCAGCTAAAACTCCGCTGCTCCACGCCCTCCCCATCCCGGCCATGCTCGTGGGAGCGCGGGCGAGAACGCGGTGAGCCTCGGGTCTTGCACGAAACCAACGGCACTCGAAGCTTTGAAGGATCGAAGGCTGAAATACTTCCATGGAAGAGGCGCCCATGGAAGTACTGTCATAATTTCTTGGCGCGAGCAAATCCTTAAGAGGCGGACATGTGACTGCCAAGCTTTGACTGAGTTGGCCTCTAATTGATCGAATTACACTCCGTGCCAAGCTGGTTCAAACTTGGCTCTATGCCAAATGTGTCCTCTTTTCGAGATGAGTCCCATGACCCTGATGGGTCAGGGACCGCCAATCTACATGGAGGCTTGCGGGTCCCGGCAACATGGTCAGACCAAAAGTTCGCAGGTTCCTTGTGGGTAGTGTGTCCGAACATAGCAAAACACTCACTAGGAAAGGACATCGGCCGTCTGCATGATCAGATGTTCTCCAGACATTCCAAGGTGTTGGGCTTCTTTGTGTTGGGACAGCCATTCTCACCCCACTGCAAACATGGATCCATGTTGTGCACACAGCTCTCAAGGTTTCTGAAATCGTGTTCCAATATATAAGAACAAATGGCAACACCCCGTTGACAGCAGCGCATGATCATAAGCACAAAGCACACGCCACTGCATGAGCAGCCATGCCAGGATGGCATGCAATTTGCTCTCGTGAAATAGGAATATGGTGCGACCAATTTGTTGCCCCAACCATGTTCTTTCGCCAATGCTGCACTATGTGTTTGGCTTCCCTCAAAACAGCGACCCCAAACCAAAGAGGCCCCCCCCCACCGGCTGAAACAATTCAGTCAACGGCGACAAGTGATGTCCGATTCTGGAACGGTCTTTTCCAATTAGCCTTGAACTCACCATCCTTGCCGAGCGCAAAACCCCACGAGCTGTCTGAAACAGGCGTACATGTCAATGGACACTTCTGGGTCTGGCCATGGCATAAAGGACAAACCCAGCGAAGATACCCTACCAAGATTCCCCAGAAACCAACAAAAAAAAACACGCAAAGTCAACCCTTGGCACACAACAAACTTGCAGAAATACAGCTACACAGCCTCAAAGACTATACAAGTAGCAAGCAAGCCAGGATGCAGTTTGTTCCTGTAAAGGCGACTCACAGGTGTGCCATGGTCAATGGCCCACGGTCACGATTCCTCAAATAGGAATCGGTATATACGGTATAATGATTGTTAGCCATTCAGGATCCTTGCTACCAGGATGACCATCCCTGTCAACCCCAAGGGGTGTTTTGACCGTGGAAAATCTGTCAAATCAGCGCGACATTCTGCCGTGGCGCATCGCTGAAGCGCTCGCAAGCGGCCAGCCGGCCAGCTCACCCTCTTGAGTTTAACGCTGAGCAGTGATCAGGTGCCTTCAAAGATCCACACGGCCTGTCGTTGTGTGAGGGTACCCTTCGGGTTGTTTCAAGGGAGACCAGCCACGGCGGTTGACCGGTTTGAGACAATCCCCCACAATCTATGATTTGCACAGAATGTAGCAGCCGCCCTGCTTGACAAATCATCAATGCAGCTACGTCAATGGATACGAAGTCTGGCGGCTTCTCTTGATCTTGCCCAGACATGAAAGTTAAACATGATTATGCCTTTCCCACTCGTGGCGTCAGCCAGACACACCAAATCGATTGACATCAAAAACTAAAACCCTTGTGGCCCTTGTGCCAATATCAAGTGGTAGACGTACTTGCGAACAGCCCAAAGCCGAATGCATGTTCTGCCCGATTCCAACTGGTCCGAATCGGATGGCAGGCATCTGACGTGGGCGCACCATGTGGGGGTGCGCAGCGTTGACATTGTCCAAATGTCCAGCCGTAAAGACCTTCTCTTTGGCACTCGTCATGAGGCCTGCACGCCGAGCGGGTTCATGTCTATTGACAACTGACCGTGCGACACGTCCAAATGAATCGGCACAAAGTGCTGGCACGCCGGCTTTGTGGAATTCGTGACAGTTCAAATATCGACCCTGCCGGCACCCAGGCCATATCACATTTCGTCCCAGGGACTCGCCTGGTATCACACCTTAACTGACCTCAAATCCAATTTTCCGCATGAGCCAAAATCGTAGGCTTGGTGCCTTATCATCGGGGGGACTTGGTTCCTAGTCCCTGGGCTCCCCGCGCGCCTGTGCTCCGAAGCCACACCTGGAAAGCTCATATGAGAGGAAGCTTCACTGGAAAACACCCCCTATTAATCCACAAGGATATTGACCTGGCTTTGACATTACAAAGATCTACCACTTTGAAAGGTTCATGTTCAACGCTCTTAGAGATGCCTGCAGTATAAACACGCATACGGGAATTGCATAAGATACATTTAGATTGCAAGCCAGGGCGCATGTCTGCTACTATGTGTTGGTTGCACTTGCTGGTATGTTTTATGCATTCTAGAAGTGGCTCAAGTATCGTGGCATGAACACATTGTGGGGAAGTAGCTAGTACGTGTATTGCTGTTATTGCTGTTGATGGGTTCTAATTCATATAGTGAGTGATGTATTCTGTGGCTTGCAGGACTCTATTTGAAGAGAGACCCTCTCTGAGCATCTCTCATGTCACCAATGGAGTTCAATGGAACCAATGGTGCTGTGGCAAACAGATATTCAAATGAGTGCATACCTGTTTGTTTGGAACAAACACGTTTTTGCTGTAGCTCAATTGATATACATGTCAGATACATCCCGGAACAGGTCCTATAATGCCATCCGGCATTTCAAATGCCCTACACGTAGAAATGCCATGAACTTATTTACCCCGTGGTGCTCCTCTAAGGACCACATGGACCCGGCTTTGGAATTAGTAAATCTGGAACAAAACCTACCCCACTTGCCAACTGGATCCGGCAACAATCAACCTTTTTCATGCATGGCACCCATGCCCCCCCCGCCTGGATTTAGCAGCAAGATAAAAGCTGCACATTTGACACTAATTCGAAAGCCTCAAATAAGGGATCCCCCGATTAAATCCAGGTGAGCTCGCCATAAATAGACAGAACCATGTGCTATGCCTTGTGTAGGTATGGAATTAACTTGGGGGGACCTTTTGTGGACATCATTTTCATGGGGAGCTATGTCCGCGGGAACGTTCGCCAATCATTGTTCAAAGGGTTTTTCATTGACATCGATAACCATGTGAATTGCGCAGACTAACGTCGGATACAGCAGACCGTGTCATGCTTGCACACAGCATAAAATACCTTCACGAGATCTAATTTTGTTCCACTAATTTTGTTCCACGTCGATCTGTGAAAGGCAGGAGCTGTTGAAAATATCTTTCTACAACTAGCTGCTTGCGGAAAGGATTGGGTGACTCTTATCGGTTCTAAACAAGAACAGCCATCGCAAAGTGTACAGTGGATCAGTTGAGTCCCCAGCCCTCCTACCCCCAAGTCAATGTTGAGGCCAATGGCCTGCAAGGCAGGTTACTTTTTCTGAAGGCCTCCTTCACTACACGACCCTCTATATCAACCTTGCATTTTGTGAATGTTCTTTCGTTACGTGAAGAACCAGTACGCATCATAGTTTGCAAGCACAAGGGATGCGCGACTGACAAGCTGAGCAAATCATAGCAAACGCACTGTCCCGCAAGCAGGTCACGAACACATATTACATACAGGCAGAGCATGGAATTGAGTAGGGGGACCACTTTTAAGGGAAGCAAGGGCGTGGAAGCGTGGCGTCGGACTCCGTTGTGAGTTTGTCATAAAGAAAAAGAAGGAACTGCTAATCCGCATGAGCTGCGCGTCCCATCTACTGCAGTATGATGAACCATTATTTTTGCAGAAATAAGGCGGGGGGCTTTCGCACTCTTTTTCCTTTTTTTGATTTCCAGGAAATTAAAACCCATGGATCTAGTTGGTTTGCCCTAACAAAAGGAACGGGGTTCAAGTCTTTCTGAGGGTGATCAAAAAACGGAGCCCGGCCTCAGGCCAGTATGAAAGCCCTCATGTTTCCTCTTTGCCCCGATGATCAAATCCCTCACAAGACAGCCCAAAAAGGAACCTTGCTTATCGCGTGCTATGAGTTGCTGGGATCAAGGGTTTCCGTCTGCGCCCTCAACTGCCGACGTATGCTATGGACTATGCCAGTGAATCCGAGAAGCAACGCTGCAAAGCAAGCGAAGCCGCAAGCAAACTTGAGCCACAGGGCTGCAACAAGCCAAAGGGGCCTTGTCAGAGATTGGCTTGGAGCAGCACGCAAGAGGACAAACCAAAAGTAGACTCTTTAGGGGTATATGTTCAGTCCCCTGCTCAGATGTGGTCATGTGGCCTGGTGAAGCCCCTCTAACAAAGAAGATGTGGGAGGGGAACATCCTCAACCCAACCTGTGTGGTTGGTTCTGAGTCACCTTGTATGTCCTATCAGGGTGAAGTGAGCTAGCTTGCTGGGTGTCATAAAGCAGGCAAACACGGATCTGCTGTGCACAAACGAAACAATCCAGTCGAGACACGCAACATGGTTCTTACCACGAAGGCCATCGTCACACCCCAAACCACGGGCCATGAACCAAGCGCACGACTGGGGGCTGTCATCACACAATCGATTGGCCAACACATGGCGGTGATAAGACGTTCTCACGGAACGTTACATGAAGTTAGTTCGTGCATGGAATCACTTGTTCATAGCCTGCATCACCCAACGGATTCACAGGTCTCAGCCGGAAGCATGCGAAACAAATAGGAGACCAAACCTAATTCTGTGGATATGTATCTGTCAAAATAGGAGTCACTCCCCCGAGGGGTGGTTGCCCTTTAAACCAACCCCATAAAACTGTATCAAAGAAAACACAGACCCATGTGTTGCGAGTGTTACGCTCTTGGACTCCACAACTGCAGCTGCTGTAGAAGCTGCCAGCTGATAGGAATGCTGCCTTTTATCTGTGACGTTGGCACTATGCAAGCCATTCCTTGGGAATGGTTCCCCACAGGCGCATCAGCACATCGCGCGCGCGCACGCCGAAATCTGGGTAGCTCTTCAGTGTCCGATCTTGCGTACGTGCAGAAAGTCAGGATTTGGGCACATGTTTGATCAGGTCCGCTTCCAGCGCAGGGCCAGCGAATGTACCGTCTGTCAGGGCTGTCAGAAGGGGCCATCGAGATCATTGCATGAGAAAGATCTGCGGGTCGATTCGATGTAAAGGACGACGTAACGTCTCCTCGCTCCAAAAGCCGAGGCTTCTAGAAATGACGAAGTCCATCATATCGAAACTGGAGCTGGCTTTTGCAAATGCCAAAGATCACGTTGAACTCTGGGATCAGCTGGCCACGCACCAACCAGCTTCCACCAACCTTCCACCTTCAACTGGGCCCACTGCCTCAGATTTTGCCACCGAAAGATGGGTGTTTGATGCTGGTCCACATCAGTGGAGCTGAACATGTCAAATGGTTTCAGCTCTAGAGTAACATGATGAAGAAACCAATCGAAAGAGTGTACCTTCCAACTGAACATCCAATGATTCGAAGCCATTGCAAGGAGAGCCACTGCAACCTGGTGACTTGACCATCAGTGACCTTTGTGCCCATACTGTGGGTGGACCGAACAAAGAGTTGGAACGGATGGCTCAGTACAAGATGTTTTGCTGGGATGAACCATGAACCATCCCACTGCGGGTCTTCGATTCGCAGCCATTTTACAGGTAAGTCGCCGTCACCGGAGGGACCGCGCCAGCTCCACATAGGCGCGATTGCTGGGATCCAGCTGTAACGCTTGTGCCAGGTGCTCACGCGCCTGTTGCGGCTGGTCCAGGAACTGGTACAACCTGACAGAAGTTTGAACCCGCCAGGGATGGGAAACCATCTACACATAAACCCAGGTGTACTTTGCGTTGCCAAATCCAGGAATGGCATCATTTGGCTTGTCAACCTGTATACTGGGGCTCATCCATCGCAACTGCAGGATGTAGTTGAAAACAAAACCAAGCCACACTGATTGAAGCTTTGCCAATTGTGTAGAAAGCTAAGCTGTCATTCTCCTTCAGCTCAGTGGATCCAGTCAGCCTAGGAAAATAGAGACCTGTTGACATTCTTTTTGGTGGGTTCACCCAAAAAGAGGAAAAGGGGTGCCACTGAACAGCTGGGACAAGGTTAAACAGGAAGCTCAATATGGATGAGTCGTTTGTTGGGAGTACCCCTTTTTGGTGTGGCTTCAAGGGAAAACCACAAGGAACACCGTTGCACCATTTTGGGGGTTCCTCCCCCCAAAAAAAAAAGAAGAAAAAAAAAGACGAGACAACCGAGCGACGAGGCCAAGTTGGCATGGCACACGTGGAGCGACGGGTCCAGCCTGAGGCAGTGACGAATGTCATGAGCATGTTTTGCTTGCAAGGAGCACCTGTTCAGACTTCACAGAAAATGCTTCAAAACTGGTTGCGCAGCTGGTGTTTGCTGTTGAAGGCATCATATGCATGCATATCATATATGGAGTTTGCCCTTCAGCCTCTTGATTCATTTTTTGTCCGGTAGTGTGGTCATGAGTCATCCCTGCTTCTCATTGCAGGCTCAAGGAGAACGGATCAGCAGACAAGCTGCATCCTTCACTAAATACTTCCCAAACGAGATCAAGAACACCCCTTAGCTGTAGAGACCAAATCCTGCATCAGTCAATAGGTTGATCCCTTTGCTTACAGGGTTTCATTCATTTTGACTGGTGCAAGATATTGTCGCTCCACAGTATTGTCCTATAAAGTGATGCTTCACCCAGGGTCATGAAATTGCGTTTCCGATTTCCAATCGCTCTTTGTTGGCGATTTCACAGCGTTCCCTAAGTTCCCGCCTCAAGCATCATGCCACAAGACAACAAAAACACCACATTGGTACCTGGAGTCTCCGCGACTGTGAAGAAATAGATACCTTGAGAATGACGCGTACAATCTATAAGAAAGGATTGGATCCTAAAACTTCAAATAGATAAATAGGAAACCAAACAAGTAGCCGGAACTCAAAACCGACAAAAGGCTTACCTCTGTAAATTGACAAACTCCAGCAGTTGGGAGGTGCTGACCCAAGGCTAGGGTTTCATCCATTCCGAGTGGTTTTTCCGATTTCGTCCAACTTCGCCGAGGCGCCGAATGGCCTCGCAGTACGCGGCCAGCGCCTCGTCCGTGCGGCCCTCCGCCTGGGTCGCCACGCCGATGTACGCGGCCACGTCCGCTAGTCGGAGCTCTGACAAACCCCGGCCTCGGCCCACCTAGGCGGGAGCCCGATGGCCACAACTCGGGGGGGATGGGTATTCCAGTGAGTATCCCAGCATCCCAAAGAAAAACATCTTTCCGCGAGATTTCCCTCAAAAGATTGCCTAGACCTCGATATCCTTTTAAGGGAAAACGACATTCTGATGGACCATGATTTGGTTAAAACTAAAATCAGTGAAATTCATCCATGTTCTAACCAAACTGACCGCAAAGGGACACCTGTCGACCACTGAGGTCTTGTTGAGTGGACGACTGCTGGGCAGCCCGAAAGACTTGGGCCTGGCGTAGATGTGACTTCATCGAGATCTTGTCACAAGCGCCTTTTATGCATGCCAAAGCCATCTGTTTCAACTACCATTCTCATCTGAGGGACCTGCCAACTCTGCAACTCACACAAGCCAAACAAGCCGAAGGCCCAGCCAACACCATACAACCCACCATGAGTTGTCAAGCAAGAAAGAAACACTTGCAATGTTTCCAACCAGGTGCAACGCGAACCGACCAGAAGCTCCAACCTGCTTCTGGAAAATGACTCCTTCCATGATACAGGCATCACCTCAAAGGATATTCCCTTGGCCACAGAACCCAGCTTCTAAGTCCAAAAAGGTTTACGACCAGAACCCCACACCTACAAGCCTGCTCTCCAACCCTGGGCAGATGCAATACTTCCCTGCCATCCTTTCCACTAGGCTTCACATTGTTGGCTTCCCCCTGCTTGCTATAGCGACAATTGGAAGCACTGGTTTGTGTTACTCCCATGCAAATCGACCCCCACTCGCCTGCATGACCTCCCGCAGCAACGGCAGGGCCTCTTTGTAGCGCTGGCCCTCGCAGAGCGCTTCCGCATACGCGAACGCCTTGGAAAGCGCCTCGTTCTCGCCGGGGCCCGGCCCACCGCTGGAGGCAGAAGGAGTCCTGACAGGGGTCACGTCAACTGACGGTTTCCGTCGACACAATCGCCAGTTTTATGTAGTGTGCGCTGCTTGATAAGGTTGCTGGTTGCCTGTAAATGGCATGTGGTCTTGTTCCTGTTCCTCCTGTTCCTCCTCCTCCTGCTCTGACTCGGTGTGATGAGGATGATGATGATGATGAGGATGAGGATGACAAGAGGAGGAGGAGGTTGAAGAGGAGGAGGAGGAGGAGCTTGAACATGATGATGATGATGATGATGATGCTGATGATGATGAGGATGAAAATGATGAGGAAGATGAGGAAGATGAGGAAGATGATGATGAGGATGATTATGATGATGATTATTGTTATCATTACTATTATTTGCTGGTTGTAGATGTGAGGTAGCTCCAGACGCAATTGCTTGTACTCGCAGTTGCGATGCGTGCAAGAGGTGGTGCTGTAGTCAGTAGCGATGCTGTTGCAGTTTTTGTTGTTGTGGCTGTCTCTGTTATCGGTTCTGCTATTGGAATTGAATTTTGCTGTTGCTTGCTGCAAAGGTGTCGCTGGTCGACTCCGAAGCGAGACTTTGCTTGGTTTGTTATTGCGAGCTTGAAACCAACGGTGGCTTTGCCTTATCAAGGGAAAAACAAACATGGAGAACAACACCAAACACAACCAAATAAAACCAACCCCGTGTTTCAAGCGACCCAATCGAAAACACAGAACCTCTTTGGCCTGCGCTCCTCGCTTCGATGTGGCTCACCCTCTTCCACGGCGTTTTGGGCGCCCGGAGACTTCTGGAGGTGCCGCCTGGCGAGGGCGGGGACTTGGCCTCGCGGCTGCTCTCCTGGGCGAGCGGAGCCAAGTCTCCTTCTGGAGTCGGCTCCGAAGAGTTCCGGGAGGCTTTTGGCTCCAAATTCCGGAAGGTGCCGGAATTAGAAGTTTCATTAGAGACATCTGGGGCGGATCCGAAAGACTTGAAGAAGCGGCTGGATAGGGCTGTCCGCAAAGGTTCTGGCGGGTTCCTGGGCAGAGTTCCGAGGTTCAGGGTTCATGCGGTCGGAAGGATCCGGGGGTTTCAGGAGGAGCGCTTGCTTGAGGTTCCGTTCGAGCTCCCGAGTGCTTCGGACCCGAACTTTTCGGCTGTTGGGGATTCCACCTGGGCTGATGTTGTTCTTCAGAAATGGCTGGTTGCCGCATATCCTCGAAGTAGACAAGCCGTCCGTCTTGTGTGGAAGCAATTGCCGTGCCAAAAAGCTCGCTGTCTGTAAGGCAGGCCCTGTGGGGCATTGGCATTGAAGTAACTTCAAGCAAATGGTTGTCTCACCTGCCAGTGGTCTGTTGCTAAGCCCTATTAGGTTGGGTTGCAATCTGATTGGATGTTCCGTCAATTGGGGTGCCCCTGACCCAGAAATGGTCGATGTATCAGCGTTGTTTTTTTGCCAACCAAAAAGGGCTCCCCAGTGAAAGAAACGGCGATTTGATGAATCTTGACTAGGGACTGGTTTCTTCAGTTGGTGTCTTTCAACATCACCCCAAAAAGGTCAGCACTTTTGGATTACAGAAAACCAAACTGAAACCATGCAGGGGATTACATATCGCAGTTGGAGACCCTTACCGACTTGCAACCAAAAGGGTCCCGGGCATTCTGCGGCCGGAAGGCCTGGTTGCTGGTCATTTGGTGAGACCCAATCTCACCCCCCGCCGGCAAATGATGGCATGGGTGAGAAGACCAAAGGGAAGCCCAATTCCATTTTCTGGGGGTCCGATTCCTATTTTAAGACGCGCCAATCTGGGTGGCCGGGGCGCCTCATCTTTTTCTTAGGTTGGACCCCCCAAAATGGCTTCGGGTTTCCTCTTGGTTCCCCATCCCCAACAGCCGCGGAACTTAAACCCTCCGGAACCCTCCGGAACCCTCCGGAACCCTCCCTGATATCTGCTCCAAGCTAATTACCCCAGAGCCAATCTGGGCCTACCGACCCCATAGCGCTTTCTGTGGAGGCAACTTTTGCGCCAGGCTGCGGAAGCAAAGCTGAGGCTCTTCGCCTTCTCAGCCTTGGCACTCGCCAGCTCGGACTGCAGAAGCTCCAGCTCCCTCGGCCATCCCGGGTGTCTCTTGGAGGTACCCTTGGGGTTGGTTTTTTTCAGGGACACCTTTCGGGAAACCCAGCATTTGTTGGGAGCTTAACCTTTTTTGAGGAGAATTGTGCATTTCTTGATCTGTCAGTGGGCATTTGCGAAAACAGTTGGCGGTAACTCTCGCTTGAGGGCATCCACCTTGTGGGCTTCGTGTCCGTCTTCGCCTTTGCATGACACAGCCCGGCTTTGAAACCACAAAAGAACAAACAGGAATACCATTTGGGAGGAAGCCAGCCAATCTTTCACGTCAGTCGGAGACTAGTACTTTGACGGCCCCAATTTGATGGCCACCCTCCAGCAAGCATTCTTTGCACCAACATATTGGCATGGTTTCAAAATCATGCTGAATGTCATGGCCTAAACTGGCCGTAAACATGCGATGCCCTCCCTGCAGCTGACAGGGGTCCAGGGGTTGTTTTCAAAAGGAAGCTAACTGATCTTCGGAGAAGGTGCTAGCCTCGAAACTCCATCCAAAAGCTGTCCCAGTGCCAGCAGCAACAACGAGTAACTCCTGTCTTGAGGGTCATGTCAACAGACCAGCAGTTTCGAACTTTGCAGTTCAGAGCCGCTGCCGGCTGCTGTTGGAAGTCAAAACAAGAGGTATGCTTTGCGAGCCCTGTGGCCTCACAAGCGGAGGTGTACGTCAGCTCAGCCTTGACATGACCTGCCCGATCCAACCTCGCCTGGCATGCTGGGCTTGCAGGTCCTCCATCTCCGACTGCATCTGCTGCACTTCATTCTTGGCCCTGCGCGCCCGAACTGCCGCCGGTCTATCAAGGACTCGTTTAAAGAGGAAAAGAGAGATAGAGAGAGATGACGATACATGGATAGATGGATAGATGGATAGATGGATAGATAGATAGATAGATAGATAGATGGATAGGTACATGGATACATTGATAGATTGATAAGATAGATAAGACGGATAGATTGATACATGGATAGATTAGGCAGATTAGATAGGTAGGTAGGTAGGTAGGTAGGTACATAGATAGATAGATGGATAGATGGATAGATGGATAGATGGATAGATGGATAGATGGATAGATGGATAGATGGATAGATGGATAGATGGATAGATGGATAGATGGATAGATGGATAGATAGATAGATAGATAGATAGATAGATAGACAGACAGATAGATAGATAGATAGACAGACATATAGATAGATAGATAGATAGATAGGTAGATAGATAGATAGATATATATATATATATATATATATAGATAGATAGATAGATAGATAGATAGATAGATAGATAGATACATACACAGATAGATAGATAGATAGATAGGTAGGTAGGTAGGTAGGTAGATAGATATATAGATAGATAGATTAGATTAGATTAGATTAGATTAGATTAGATTAGATTAGATTAGATTAGATTGATAGATAGATAGATAGATAGATAGATAGATAGATAGATAGATAGATATATTAGATAGATAGATAGAAAGATAGATATATAGATAGATAGATAGATAGATAGATAGATATATATATATATAGATAGATAGATAGATAGATAGATAGATAGATATATAGATAGATAGATAGATAGATAGATAGATAGATAGATAGATAGATAGATATATAGATAGATACATAGATAGATAGATAGACAGATAGATAGACAGATAGATATGTAGGTAGGTAGGTAGGTAGGTAGGTAGGTAGGTAGATAGATAGATAGATAGATAGATAGATAGATAGATAGATAGATAGATAGATAGATAGATAGATAGATATATAGATAGATAGATAGATTAATTAGATAGATACATAGATCAATAGATAGATAGATAGATAGATAGATAGATAGATAGTTAGACAGATAGATAGATAGATAGTTAGACAGATAGATAGATACACAGATACATAGGTACATACATACATACATACATACATAGATAGATAGATAGATAGATAGATAGATAGATGGATTCGATAGATCGATAGATAGATAGCTAGCTAGCTAGTTAGCTAGCTAGCAGATAGATAGATAGATACATATAAACATAGATAAACAGATAGACAAACATATTGACAGCTAGAAAGATAGAAACACAGACAGATTAGATAGATCAATTAGACTAGATAGAGTAGATAAACAGAGTAGACGGATTCGATAGATTCGATTAGATAGAGATTAGATAAACTACATCGGTGAGATCAATTAGATTGTTAGATCGATTAGATTCGTTAGATATATTAAGATAATATAGAAATATGGATAGATAAATAAAAACTATTATATTATGTAGATTGGATAAATTGTCAAAACCTACTAAGGCAAATACCCGCCCCTCTGCAAAGGTAGGTTGGTACGCGCTCAGAGTCTGCTGTTTGGACATGGCTCTTGCTTTGTTTGCGTTTCAAACTCAACCATGGCATCAAAGTGTAACGACCATCACGTCCATTTGAGCCGTGGTCAAAAGACCCGTTGGGGTTGGTAAGGATGAGTGGGCGGTTTTAGACAACTAATGTGAAAGATCACTGAAGGATCCTCTTATTGGAACCATGCTCAGCTCCAGTGGCCATGGGAAAACAAGGAAACCTTCTCCCAGAGAAAAGGAAGAGAAGGGGCCCCGTCTTCGCATCCTCGCATCGCCTGCTGCGCAAGATCCCGCGGCCGAGGCTTTGCTGCGTCAGCTGGCGGACCTCCTCGCGCGCGCCGGACAGCTCCTGGTGCATCGCGAAGACCTGCAACCCGGCGGGCCCCATGGGTTGAGGGGCGGGGATCCCAACAAGTTGGGAGAAAAGCGCGAAAACAGGAGCAACGACATCTAAAAGAGAAGCACAAAACAAGGGGGTGCTGAAACGGAGGAAACGAAAGCAAAAGGAGACCCACATGTTTGATAGGTCAAGTTCCTAAAGCGCTCCAACTGAAAGTAAAGGATATATCCACCTTGCAATCGAAGACCAATTGGTGGCTAAGTGGACCACACCTGGAGCACCCAAAGGTCAACAAAGCCTGAATTCGCTTTGGACAACTCAATGGGTGTCCCAAATTGTCACGTTACATAAACGGATACATGATACATGAGTGTCACAACAAGCGTATCCAAATGGTTGGCTTCATGAGTCCCTCGAAGACTGAGCCCCTTTTGGGGGTCCCCAGTTTTGACACACCATGACGAATGAGTCTGTGACCCCAGGGGCCTGGTTGTGTTGAGAAAACCATGAGGGATGCTCCAGCTTGAGTGGTGCAAGACACAACCCCTTCGGGTGCGGTAAATTGTTGATTGACACAACATAGTATTTGATGCTTTGTCGTACAAGCTCGGCAAAGTCAAATAGATCAGCAAGCTTCCCACAAATGGCCCACTTCCTCTTGATTACGTTTGGATCGCTTAGCAGGCTCACCGTCTCCTCAAAACGCTGCAAATCCACGGGCGTAACGACTTGCGAAGGAGCTGATTGCCGGGTTGACTGCCCTTTTTGGCCATCAACACCACCTCAGCTGTGGTCGAAACTCTGTGTGAAGCATGGACACAGTTCACTTGCGATAAACATAGAATGTGTTTGTTTGCAGCCGCCATACAGACTCAACTGGCACTTGAAAGGGATCTGAAAGCGGGAAGTGGCCTTTGATTTGGGCTATAACCCACCTCCCTCTCCTTATTTGGAGGGCAGAAAGGCCGTCCCTGGCAAAGCTTACCGTACCCTCCAACCAACCTGGAACCCCAATTTGGGTCCAATCCCAAAAGAAGATTCCTCAAATGGTGAGTGATGGGAAGCAGGATTCACGTGTCAAATGAAAGGGGGGTTCACCCATTTCGGATCCGCAGTGCCGAGTATCTTAATTCAGGTATCTTTGTCTGCCAGGATTGATATAACACCCCAAACAAGTCCGCAAGGCAAAAACTGAGACCAACGTCTGACAAAAACCGACAGGCTCAACCTGCTCCCTGCCTGTAAGTCCCCAGTAAAAATCTAACAAGCCAAAGCTAAAGCCATCGACAGATCCGCCTCTCGGTGGAGCTCTGGAGCTGTGAAACTCCTCTCCGGCTCGGGCCTGGTGGGCAGTGCTTGCTCAGGGATGTCAGGCGGGAGGAAGATGTTGAGACCAAGGAATGTTTGCAAACAAGCGAACCACCCGATCAATGGGTAATCAGCAATTTGCCGCACGAAAGAGGGGGACACATTGTGGGATGTGTTGGCAATGTGTCAAAACGAGGGACCCCTCCAAGGCTTTCAAAGGACAGCAAAGCGAGACGAGCCAAAGGATTCCTCCGTTGACAGAAGCTTGATGGGGCCGAGCTTGGCATATGAAGTCCTAGAACTTGGTCAAGATTGGGGCTGTGCCATCGGCCCTGCAAGCCTTGTGCATCGCCGGGATTCGGGATTCAAAGCAGCGGTCTTGAATTGGGCTGGTGCTTCTTGAGCTTCTGCATCGGCTGATGAAAAAAGCGTCGCCTTTTGCCTATAGCCTTTTGCCGGGCGTCCATTCGCTTCACTTTCAAAGCCACTCACAGGAGGCATTAAACGCATGGGTTGGTCTCCAAACGTGGGTATTTCTGGGAACACCAGAATGAGTGGTCGCATGTCGTTTCCAGTCAACACACCCCAATAAGGGTATACCGCTGTACCCTTCAAGAAAAGACGTACCAAGATCCGTCACGCACAGGATACAAGGCCAGAGCTCAAATAGACTAGCCATTGAGAAGCACAGCAGAAGATTTCAAGTGGGGGGTGACCATTGGGGAAACCACAAAAAAAACATGCTTCCCGCTAAATGGTACTAAAAGTTACTCATCATGGTCATTTGGGAGTATTGATCAACCCCCACGTGCCGTCAACGAACACCCTGCCTGTCCAAGGACAAGCTCAACGGCGTCAAAGCCAGCTGTCCCAGTGTGGATGTTGAAGCCCGTAGCTCGTTGCCCCCCTCACCTTGCGCCTGGGCAAAGGCACGCCCGCAAGGCTTTTGACGGAGGCTCCCATCAAGAAGATGTTAGTTCTACGGAGGGTTTTGCCAAGATGTTGCATCACACTCTATGACTTCTATTAACTTTATATCGCTGAGACAGCTGCAGAACCCGTTCCACCACCTCTGAAGGCCTAGCAGTTTCCCATGAAACAGCAAAATTCAAAGTTACAAATTCAAGTCGAATCCCCGCTGATCAGTATGGTCAGCTGGAATCAATCGAAGTCGGCACACACCCATGTGCTACGTACCTGCTAGCATAAACGCCGTGGAGAGAACTGCCTCATCCTCTGTCTGCCGACCGTGTCTAAAGCTCACATCAATCATGCTTGCATTGCATTGGACGCAAGAACAACTTCTGCATGGAAGTTGTCTGAATGAGGGAAGGCACACGGTTGTGTGTTTTATTTGCTTCTTTCTTTGACAATAGACTTAACATAATCCGCACGATCTTGTTTGGTAGACATGATACAACTTCAACATGGTGCAACGCCGAAGCTCTCGCACGACTCGCGCCTGCAGCTGGGTGTTCTCCCGCAGCAAGGTGCGCACGCACTGTGCCACCGCCTCCAAGATGTGGCCGTAGCGCGCCATGGTGAGGTCGCCTATAGTGTGGGGGCTGCGTCAAGCTGTGGCCGCCAGAACTAAAAGCAAACAAGCCTCTTGTGTTGTTGAAAAGAAAACCAAAGGGAAACTGATCTGGGGGTGCTCACACTGGGGTTCCTGCAAAAGTTCAAGCAAGCCATGTCGTGTGTCAAACAACACAAAATCCATAGATGATAGCCAAAAGGTCAAAGACAAGGGATGGCAAAGCCCGGCACACATGAGGTTTTGGGGCCACAATTGCTTAGCAACGGTTGGGGCAGCGTTAACGTGACGAAAGTTTGGTCCCAATCGCCAGGTGTTGGCAGATTCCTCTTATGGCTGGCAACTGCTCCCAAACATCCCACAACAGCCTTCTGCAGTCCCTGCGAAGGGGGACTGGAAGAGTCTGAGTGGGAGACTACCCACACCCCATCCGAACGTGGATATGGATCTTAATGCCTCAAACACCCTCAACGGCATAAAAAAGTGTCCATGTAAATACCCCCAATGTGGGGTCGGCAACACGAGTTGCACATCTGTCTTCCACCAACCCTTTCCACTTTTGAAGCAAGTTGTCCTAAGTCTACCCTCAACACTCCCCCTTTTGGCTCAAAGGAGAGAGCGGAAGCAGGACAGGACTGCATTATGATTCCGCGATTCCGCAATTATTGAATCTGCCCTTGCTATGATTCATCAAGATCAATTGAGGGAAATGACCTTCATCGGGGATGAGATCGTTAGTGAGGATTGAATTGACCATAAAGCATTTAATAACCAGCGCGCTGCAACGTTCAGGTGCCAGCTGTCAATCACAAAGGAACTTAGACAGGTATAATAGGTTCAGGAACTTCTCGAATGACAGCACTGCCAAAACATCTTGCCGGAGGCTCTGTGGGGGAGGTTCCATGTCAAATTGATGAATGACTGAGTCATCCTTTGTGAACCTTGTGAAGAGGGCTGAGGAACCCCTACGGGGAGTCTTAGATGTGTTATCAGCCCCATGACCCTGAATCCCATAAGTTTTTCGCCACGTCTCCGAATGGTACACACGCTTCGCAACGCTTACCTATCCAAGCCTTTGATAATGGTTTGAAACCTTGAAATTAAGAATCGTGCGTGGTGGAAAACATGGTGCCATAGAATCTTTAGGCGATCTGCAGCTTTGTACTGCCAGTAAGTCTCAAATACTGTCATGATCCAACTAAAATCAAGTTTTTCTTTGTTTCTCCTTCTTGTATCTTGTATACTGTATACAATGGATTTCGCCAAACATCTGTGCATGACAATTATGTCTTTCCCTGCGGAAGGACAATCAAACACCGGCAACCGGCAGCAAACCGAACCCCTCTGCGAGGTCGCTGCTTGTCTAAACGTGGGTCTCAAAAGTGGCTTCCTCCTGCTTACCTGCCCCTAACCAACGCTCAATCTTGAGGTTGATGACCTATCCCTACCAACCCCAAGGGACCGGTGTTTTCACACTGTGTGTGTTTTTGGAGTTAGTACCAATTTTGGTGTTGGCTTGAGGGAAACCGCCAATGTTGGGGGGGTACCCAACTTTGAATCATGCCATGCGCGTTCTTCCCCAGGCCTTCGCCTCCGGCCTGGCTCTCTCGGCACACCTCCTGAAGGACTGCCCAGCCCCTCCCTCCCTCATTCCCTCCCCTCCCGGGATCACTGGTGAGTTCCCCCACCGAGCAAGGCAATTTACAGTCAAGAGACATTCGCTTTGGGTTTCAAGACCTTTGCTTACCGACATATGGCAGATGCGCCTCTCTTTGCCCCAGTTTAGAACCTGTTGCAGCCCCATCAAAAATCAATGGTCACTTTCACAGGGTTGAGTTTGGTTCAACCCCTTTTTTGGAAGAAACGCCCCAGCTGAATGGACAGCCAAAACCAGTGGCCAATGGGTTCCACATCCTCCTTGTCTGGCTTGCTCAAAATGGGTGAATCCCGTCAACTGATTTTGAATCCAAGGAACCTCCAGGGTACCTATACAGAACCATGCTAGGATACAGAAGACACGGTCTTAGCCATGCGTACACACCAGAAGAACCGTTTTGCGTTGAAAATTCGCAGCCCGCCTGAATGGGCACACCAACTGAAACCCGTGGCACTGAGATGGGTTGAGAGGAGTTTAGGTGCTTGCATTTCGTAGTTGTCATCTGGCAGTTCTACCTGGATGTCTTCAATCCCGAACAGTTCACAGTGGCGCCCGCAGACGGGCAAGACCGTGTTCCGGAGAAACTGCGTGGTTTCTTCAAATGAACCCTTGGAGTTGCTGTCAAGGGACTCCGAAAGAATCAGCAAAGCCCCCCCCCCACCCCCTCGGCGCCTCGTAGAAGTGCAGCGGGAGGCCGTTCAACGCGGCCTCGCAGGCGCCTTGCAGCTCCCGGTGCTCTTCCTGGCACCGCAGGCGCTGGTCCTGGCACTCCTCGGTGGCCAGCTGAAGCTCCTCACCGGCGAGGCAACGGCCAGGCGGCAAGGTGAGCGGTGCTCTAGACAGCCAAAAAGGTGGGAATTCATGTCCACCAACCATTTTTGGTTCCCCATTGAAATACATCCCGAACCACCAACACAAACCTCTGCAGAAACAAAGAACGACACGATTTCACAATTTCGACATATTTCGACGCTTGCCTCGCGACAGGCGTCGCGCGAGCTCTGCTCTTCGGCCAGGGTGTGCTGCAGTAGCCTCCGACCCCAAGGGGATCGCTTTCTAAGGTTACGCCTTTTTGGGTCCAAAAAAAGTCAGAACCAATAAATGGTTTTCGATTTTGAGGGCTACTTGACCAGAGATTGGAGGGGCCTGGTTGGGCATTGGGGCTGAATGTTCAAACATGGCTTGCGCATCGGATTTGCGCTCCCTTTAGATAGACCTTTCTGTGATAAAGTGGGATTCCCATCCCCATGACTACCTCATCACTCAAAAGGGATGCCCTTAATATGACCTTTTGAACTCTCAAGAGACGTTCTGGCAAGTACACATAAACTGATATGAGCTGATACAACCAAGCACCCCAACATATTCAGCTCTCATGAGGGGCACATATTGAGCAACAGCTGCTTACCCGTAACCTTGCGTAGGCTGAGCAGCCTCAGTATCACATGTTTCTATTCGGGACGGTAAACAAACTATTTGGACTGTCGATGAGCAACGAACACACCCTGCACTGCATGTCTACTTGCGATCATCCGCTCCCTCTCTGCTGGTCCATCGCCAGTACGTGCCAAGCAACAACTCTTTCTGCAAGGATTAGCTTCTCTCCAACGGTGTGCGCATCGTCCTGATTTGAGATGGGGCCCCGGATGCAGCTGCCAGAAATGGGTGGGAAATCCCGGCCGTTGAACAGCTTCGCTGATTTCCTTGCATTGCGAACCACAACCAAAACAGCTGTTCCAATTCAAGACGCATCCACATGGCATTAGCGCACACCAAGACGAACCCTAAATACCATGCTAAAAGCACCATCACATGCCAGAGCAAAACTATCTCCGTCTCGTTCTCTCTCTCTTCTCTGTCGCTCTCTCTCCCTTTCCCATTCCCTCTCCCTCTCTCTCTCTCTATCTCTCTCTTCTCTGGGCATTCGACACAAAACCCTTATGGTGAACGATTCATGTTAACACTCCCTTCTATAATCCCCCGGCAATCTGATGGTATGGGCCCTTTTCAATGTTGAATATACTCATAAAGGCTGACATGAAACCTACGCCACACTCAAGACATCCCCATGTCCTGCGATCCGTGAATTAGGAGGATAGGGTTTTCGAAGAAAAAAAAGGAAGTTAACCAGTGATCCATGTCCTTGTGGCTTTCTTGAAGCGGTGATAGTGCTGGGTTCCACGCACTGCTCCTTACAGCACCCAACTGGACTTGGGCCAATTGTGTTTGAACTCCCACTCCCTGTCTCCGGGAGGATCTTGCCTGGCCATCCTGGAGGACGCGTTGAGCTCCTGTGGCAATTGCCAATTTCAGTGGAAGCATGTGAGTTTCGGTCGGCTCAAGCTTTATTTGTAGGTGTCAAACATGCAGTAAGCAACCTAGGCTGTAAGTAACATAGTACCTCACTTCCACGCAGGATTATGTTCTAGTGCAAAAATGCGAGGATTCACGACACCTCCCTAATCCTCCCTATGTTTGTCACGAGGGGGACCTCAGCAGGACTGCTGACTGCAGGGTAAGCAACCATTTTGGGTCAAATATGTTCACCTAAGAAATGCCCCTGTAGTTGAGGATCGTTTTGCACCCGCAATCAGCGAGCCTGACCCGGGTTCCACAGAATCAACCTCACATGCTTAGGTGTCTTGGTGCCCATACACTCATACACGAGCACAGAACCGTCCTAATCCAAGTTACACAGTAGATATGGGTCTGGGTCTTTTGAAGGTACCCGTTTCGTTGTTGTTTTTTTCTCCCTGGGAGGGAGGGGGGTAAAAAATCGAGGGAAACCGAAAGGACAACCACCGTTTGGGGGATCCTTGAAAAAAACACTGACTCAAATGGAAGCAGCAACTTCCAATGGTTGCGCCAAAGCAACACGAACACGTGGCTCTTTTTTTTGTCAAAAGCAAGAAGCCGTGTTTAAAAGGGTTCTTGTAAGGTTGGATCCCCCAAAATGGGTGGGGGTTCTTTTGGTTTCCCGTCAAACCACCAAACAAGGGGTACCCTAAAACAAAGACAGACCCATATAGCCCGATATGTCCTCCGCATGGCGTTTTGGCGTTGTGTTTTTTGCCAGGCCCAACATGGTTTGCCAGTAGGTTCCGAACTGCAAGTCAAACTCAATGGTCTTCAGGCGACAAATCGCATGCCCCAGTCCCCTTGGGCCAAGCCGCAGCCTGGGATCCCAGGGTGTGTGTTGTTTAGAGTGGGACACCCCAACATGGCGCAATGCTTTTCCCTTTTGGTGTCCCTTTAAAACCACACCAAAAGGGGCACCAGCCAAAAAAAAACATGTAGGCCTGGGCTCCAATCCCGCCCATGAGAGCTTTTGTGGCCTCTTCCTTGCGCCGTAGTTCTAGCAGCTCGAGGGAGCGACGCCTGAGAGGTGACTGATCTGGAGGGGTAGAGGATCAAAAACAAATTCGTTTGGGATCAAACTAAAAATAACTTTTTGGATGTTGTTGGGCAGGAGCAAAACAGGACGAAGGCAGGGCGGCGGCAGAAGAGCTGTTTTTCCTAGCTTCGGCGGGCCGGTTCTTTCCCGAGGTTTGGCACATGTGCTAACAAAATGCTCCTTTCTCGCACCGTTAACATCCCGAGCAAAGTTTTCAACACCCACGGCATCACCAGAAGCTTTGGTTTTGACTGAGTTTGGGGCGGGTAGGGTGGCAGGCCTTGTTTTCTTCGTGGTGGTTTACCGTTGCTTTAGGTTGGAAGGTTTTTGGTTGGTTTAGTGCTGGTTTAGGTAGGCTTAGAGTTGGGCTTAGGTGGGTTTGGTGGCTTTAGGGTTGGCTCAGGGTTGGTTTAGTGTTGGTTGGTTTAGGCTGTGTTAGGAGTGCTTTAGTGCTGGTTTAGTGTGGATTTGGATTGGTTTCGGGTGGGTTTATGGTTGGTTTTTGGTGGTTTAGGGATTGTTTAGTGCTGGTTCATGGAGGAACATCCTTTCAAGGGGACCCTTTCGGCCTTTTGCTCCTCACCCCCTGCGGCAACATCAAGGCAGATCTGAGATGACCCTCCAAAAAAAAAAAGAAACACAAAAACACCCAAAACAATCAAACAAACAACGCATGGTTGCTGGACCAAAATGGAAGGGTCAAGGCAACATGCAAAAATCAATTCAGGCACGAATCGAATCACAGCCTTGCTAAGCTTGCACTGAAGCCAAACGCTGAGCCTTCCCAATGGGGATGGACTTGATAATTGTTCAAAGTCAAAGACTCTATTGCAAGAATCGCCTTGTGTGGTCCTTTCGGGCAAAGGTACGTCTTGGTGACACAATGCCACCGGATTCGCACGATACAGTATTCACAAAAATGCTTTGGCCAAATGCAAGCAGCAACATGGCTGAACAGCAAACAACTGCAAAGCAATGGTGCTTCGACCAAAGCCGCATACACATGGCTTCATGTCAACCTTCAGGTGGCTTGATACATAAAAAGGACTTCGCACTCATACTCAGAAGCGATCACTCAGAATCTGAATCAGCAATGTCATCCCAGAGCTGTATCGGAAAGCAGCAGTTCGGCATGGCACAAGAGATGGAAGCGTTACTCTGCCGAATGGCGAGAAAAACGCGCCCAGGCAAAGATTAAAGAGCAAGACAAACAAGGTGATGCTCGTGTTTTTCTGACTTCTTCGTCCTTGGGTTTCCCTCTGATCGCCCCGACGACCGCACCTGCTGCCATGAGCCTCGACGCTTTCAGCCAAGTCCTACGTGGGGAGTTCCGACGCTCGGGAGCAGCGCCGAATATATGTGGGAAGGGGCAAAACACTTGAATCGAATTTGTTGGTTTAATGCCTTTTTCCGGATTTAATTTAATTGACGCACAGCCATGTGTCACACTATAGAGATCAGTTTTGGGACATTTCGATTTAGACCACCAGAAACAAAGCACATCGAGGACCCCAATGTACATGCCATGCCTAACCAGCGCACCAAGCTAACCAGCGCACCAAGCGAATCAGCGCAGCAATCGAATAGCATCCTGAGCATGACAGAAAGTAAGACAAACGTTTCAAACGGAGGCCAGCATAGTCCGAGCCTACAACAAGTATGGAGTGCAGTGAACGGGTTTATCCGAGGGGGCAGCATCAGCATGAGCTTGCACGTGAAATTGGACTGACACAACTCGCAAAGTTCTATAAGTGCCTAATGATTCACGAGAACCAGTAAGAGAGGGTGTTCCATTTTAGCTGGGCACCTTCACATCCCACAGCTCGTCATAGAAATTAATAGAGTGCCATGCTTGATTCATACTGGTGAATACACCTACAAGCAACCCAAACAAAAGGTTGCAATAAAAGGTAGAACTGATCCAAATCGAAGAGCCTGTTGCCTCTAAGGACGACCAAAATGGTTCAAAACTGTTTTGTCTTCAAGCTACGTAGTGCTTTGTGAAGCGATGAAACTAACACAAATGGCATTGACTTCATGCGGCGCATGCTCCCCAACAAGTCCGAACTTGAATCATAAAAGGGCGCAGCCTTCAGTTCGGGCAAGATCATGAATCTGTAGAAGTGTGGTAAGTCAACATGAAATACGTGGAAGAAGCGCTCCCATAGAAACGTCTCTTTTTCATTCTTTTTCATGAGGGAGGCCTGCTTTGTGAGGTCGCAATTTGACCAAATGCATCCTTTTGCATCTCCAAACGAGAGATGGAATGAACGCATAATCCTAAAAAGCTCTGGCGACTTACCCATGCGTCCAAAGGGCAGCCTTGGCCTTAGCTCAGGAGCCAAGAAGGGTGCCCCTGCTTTTCCATTCTAAACGCACAAGTTCCAAAGGATGAAAGGGTGCCACTGGACACCTGGCGACTCTGCCAAATGGTCCTGGGTCATTGACCTGCAGGCAAAGGCTCTTCGTAGTACTGGAGTAAGACTCTGGTAGCTAAGCTTCTAAGCTTCTTCGACGACTTCCAACTGAAAGCAAGTTCCTCGAGTCCTAGCGTTGACACAGCTGTGCACGCAATCACATATTCCTAACCGGCAGTGGTGCCAACCGTAGGGCAGACTGGTGTCTGGTTTGATCCCAACCGCGCTCGAGCAAAAGGTTGCAACCTGTGCTTTTCCAGCATTCCAAACCACCAGAGGGATAGGGTTATGGCCAATGTGCCCTAAGTCCGTGGCACTTTTAGAGCCAAACAACAAGCAAGCAAGCGAGCGAGCGAGCGAGCAAGCAAGAAAGCAGGCAATCAGGCAAACAGGCAAAGCAAGCAAGAAGGCACCAACCGACCCGACCAAGCAACAATCAAACCAAACAAACCCTCACGGAGTGAGTCCTGGTGTTGCATCTGCAGCTGCTGCAGCTCCTGGGAGGATCTCCGCAGCCGCTGCCGGAGATCTCGAGGCGGCGCTTCATTTCGGGGGTAAAGGTCCCCCCAAAGTCCAGGGACCCTGAGGGGCCTTTCAAGGAATGTGGGAGAAATGAAGGCCGCATTGGAGAAAATACAAGACAGCTACCCTGCGCAATGCAACTTGCATGTTTCTTGGGAAGGTACCCTGAACCATGTAAAGAGCTATTTAAAATAGTTGCCACACACTATTAGGTTTCAACTACCCAGGTCTTGATTCTGGGGCATTTTCCCCGTACTGCGGCCAAACCACATGACATCGTCGCCTGTTTTGTCCGACATGGGTGCGGGTTTGGATGGAAAACCGCCGCATCCAGGGTCCAAAGCGGGAGCCTCGAATCCCAACGTTTGTCGATTCAAGGTGGAAATCATAAAAGCAAACTTTGTCTTCCAGACTCTGCCACACTGCCATACACAGTGCAGGTATAGCTCTTCCAAGAGAGTAAGAGACTGTCAGTGGCAAAGTCCAAAGCCTCGTGTCTTAATCGTTGAACTTTGAAATGCTAAACGGAAACCAGCAGAAATCCAACCGCTGAAAAAGACCTCTGACTTCTGCCCCAACTTTGAGCTGCGCCTGCAGCAAGAAGAGCGGCTTGCTCTGCCAAATGCGCCTTGCGAGACGCCGATTGTCATGCTCTGGTGCTAAGCTTTGGTTCTCACATCTGGCTCAACACACGTGCAGCATGGCATGATCACGGCACATCTCTGAAACTGCTAGCACATAAACAAGGTCACGGTGATGAACTGGCTACGCGTGTTTTTTGGTGTCTAAGGATCTTCGGACAAGACGAGGGAACTCCCAATGATTTGCAAGCATGGCCAGAAGTTGAAGTTGCACACTCGCTGGCAGTTGACAGATTTGGGTACACAGTCGCATGAAATTCTAGTCGGTTTCAGAGGCTTGCGGCATGACGCCGCAACAGCCTCATCTTACTCGAGTGTGAGGCTTCTTGAGTTGCTAGCGTTGTTTGCCACTTTCCTTGCCAGACTTATAACTTATAATGGTTGTGGCAGGAAGCTAAAGCAAGCAAACATCAAGCAAACAACTGTCCCACTGCGACCGGATGCTCCTCATTCCACCGACAGGTGCTGGAAGTGAATCCACTCTGACCCAATTTGTCTAATTCCACTGACGGGCTGGCGGCGCGTTCCTCTGACAAAGTGCCTCTCCGGCCAAATACTTGTCTTTTGCCACCCCCCTCCCCTTCCCTCGGTATGTTCTGTCTGACCGAATGCTCATCATTGCCCACCCCCCCTCCTTGCCCCCCAACCTCCCCCACATCAACCAGAAGCAATAAATATATTTATGTCTAGCGAACATCACGTGATCTCGATATTCAAGATGCACTTGTAGTTCAAAAGGTCAAACAACCGCGGGGTAGATTCGGCACACATCAGCATAAACAAGGAGAACCTCCACAAGTCAGCAGGCTATCCATCTCTTGGGGGTCCCGCTAACCACAAGCAGGGTATTCCCTTTCTACAAATCATGGAAGGGGTCAGGGAACCTTCTTAAGACGGTAGTCTCGCTTGCAAAACCCCCGCTTGAGGCACTGCCATGGTTGGAAAGAGGGTAACCAATGTCACCAGCTACAAAAAAGAGCTAAGCATTCAGCTAAGCGGATGTCAGTTTTCTTGTCCGTAGGTAACCAGCCAGTGTGCATTTGGGTGGACTGTGTGCTGGACATTGTTGGCTTTTATGTTTACGATGGGTGTTCCCCAGTAAAAGGTAGCCGTTTAGTTGCTACTCTATAAATTGGCATGGAACCCCTTCAAACCTCAAACCTCCGATTCCCAAAAGGAGTTGCCTCCATGGCTGGGTCTGGGTGCCTTCCTTTCTGGGGAGATCTTGGGTGGGTCGCTTCTTGTTTTTTGAGACCACAGCCTGCTCCTCTTCCATCCTGGACTCCAGCTCATGTTCGACCACCACTGCCTAAGTCCGAAACAGCCCCGACCCTTCCATGAGCCGATGGCAATGAACACATGAGATGCCACTGGGAAGTAGACATCGTTGGAATTTTCGTTCCAGCTGCAAAATCCGATGTGAACAGTGCACAAAATAAGAGACGCTGCACGTTTGTTTGACAGGCACGGTGGTTTCTACAGGAGCGCATGTGCAGCTGCTTTGCAGTGCCAAAGATTTATAGGCTTTCGCGCAGCTTCCTGTGCAAAATGACTTGTCTAAACTACTCACAATATGGACACATTGTGCTGTTGGGGCATAGACTTGAAAAGACAATATTTTTGTGAAAGGAAGCTGGTGAATAATCAAATGGCTCAGGATTGTCATGATTTTGGCTTGGTTTCTCGAGAGCTTCAGAATAAACACGCACGTGGTTCACGTGGAGGCTTGACCGAAGATGTGGCTGCACCAAGACAATTGCAACTGCAAGAAACAGAACAACTTGGAATTATGATTATCACCATTCAATTCAGTATTGGGTGCTTCCGATGATCAGCAACACAAATTTAACAGGTTTGAGCGACTATTCGATGAGGTGGCAGCCACATTCTTCCATGCTGCCAACAGCATCCCTACACTTGCGATCAAGTACACTGGGCAACCAAACCGCAACTTCAAGCTTGAAAGCCCCTTGAGGATGTTCGCACATCTTACCCACTCTTTGGAGATCACCCCAAAGCGGAAGATCTGGCCCCCACAAGCAAGAGCTAACTCGTTCGCCAATATATCATTGCACCGTTCACACTCAACCTTTCCGAAATGAGAGACTCGGCAAACTACCTATGGAAGCAATTGAGTTACCGTAGCCCAACCAAATACGAACGTGTCTTGACTTTCCAATACATTATCCAAACACCTTACACGGTCCTGGCTCTCTTTATCCGACTCCTTGAGATGGTTGCTTCCCCCTTTCCAAGGGTATTGAGGCTTGATCCTGAGTACCAGGTTCTCCCTCACTCACACTGATTGGAAGTGCGCGTGGTTTCTGCAGGCCTCCACCTCTCATATCTCGTCCCATAGTCTTGACAAGCCCAAGTTCAAGGTAAGCATGAGCTGAATCCCTTCCCATTCTCCAAGCACGGTTTAACACCATGTTTGCTATCCTTGTTACATCTACCTACTTCAGAATCTCAGGGAACCTCCCTAAAACCTCGTCAAGTCCCGATGACTGCTAGAATGATATCCCAAGCTTGGCTGTCACCCCCGACCCTCCACTGGACATGGACAAAAACGCAAGCCTTTGTTTGGGAACAGGCACCCCGCCTCCAAGAAAGAAACTGGCATCATTGGGGTGACCGTAAATGGGTTCTAAGACGCTACACACACATGATTGTCTTTTGGTGCAAGCGATCTTATATATATATATATATTGGATTGCAACGCTTTGAATGGGTCTCCTGAATCACTGGAGTGGAAAACATATTGGCTCGCCTGGAAAGCCTCGTCGAGGTCTTTCAGCTCGGCCGCCGCAAATGCCGCGTCTGACGGGAAACCGATGAGGCGGCCCACCGGGAGTGGGATTCGGCGTTCACCCCAATCGGAAGCGGTCAATGCGCACTTGCGCAGGGCTGGCGTCAGGACTGGTGGAAAATGAATCCAACTTACAACTGTCACGATCGGGATTTGAAGAATGCACCCTTAAATGTAGTGTCTGCAATGCGACTTGCGTGAGAATGGATTTGGATATCAGGGACTAAACAGGAGCTGGTTTTCCGATCGTATGAAAGTTGGACATCCCCAATGTTATGCTACCATGCATGGTTACTTGGCTCTGATGATTTGGCGGGCTGTGTACATCCAAGATCATCGATTACGTATATTATATGTATGGGACCCGTGGGTTGTGTGGGGCATCTTGGATGAGCCCCTTGTCCTTCCCGAACAAAGAACAGACGGCCAACAAAATCATCAGTTGCTCATAATATCATGTTATGCATTTCAGTTGGTTGGTGTCTTGTAAGCACCTAAACGTGTGTGTGTGTGTGTGTGTGTGTGTGTGTGTGTGTGTGTGTGTGTGTGTGTGTGTGTGTGTGTGTGTGTGTGTGTGTGTGTGTGTGTGTGTGTGTGTGTGTGTGTGTGCGTGTTGCACGCAAAGACATCGCAAGTACAAACGATTCGATGCCAATGACTGGCAACGCACAAGAGGAGCCAGACTGGCGCTGGTACCATGCACAGCGCTGCCTGGGACTGAATCACAGTGTCTTGCAAGTGGTCAATGTTGGAGTACTTCCCATGTCTGATGGCTGATTCAGTATCCGTGCCCTCTGTCTTTCGTCGAGCTCGTTACACTTTCATGTTTTAGGATGGTTTAACTAACAACACATGAGAGGACCCTGTGTTTCCAACTCAAATGAATAGTTTCTGCGATCTCCCGCTTACTTGTTGCTTTTTGGGCGCAACCAGGCTGCTCGACGGCTTGCGGTCACTCACGGGCCCTTGCCTCTCCGCGCCCTGGCGGCTTGGCACTCCTCGATCCGGAGTGCCTGGAGACGGTTGTCAGGCAAACCAAACCAAGTCCAATCCAAACCGAACCGAACCAAATCTACCCAAACGTGGCCAACTCAAACCCCAAACCAACCCATCCCGGAAGGGTTGCAAGAAAAGGACACCTATGGGGAACGAATGGAAGGTCAACTAGGGGAACTCTGCAAGCCAAACCCTCCGAAGATTGTATTGAAGGCACAAGCCTGCGGGTGTGAGCAAAGGTCCAGAGGTTCAGGCAAGCAATTTGGGGGAGACCTCGAAGCTTCAAAACCTGAACAACCGATTCTCAACGGACATCCTCACTTTTTTTGAAGTCAAATAGTGGGCAAAGCATGGCAAAAGTATGAAATGTTCAGAAACACACAGAGTTTCGAGCATTGCGCTTCCCACCTCTTTGGAAGCCCCGAGCTCCAAGCTGGCATCCTGAGTCGCACTGGAGTTGGAAACCCGAATCTTCGGCTTTGGCTTCC